TTATTCATAAGAATAGATATGGAGGGTATAAAATTTGTAATAAAAATGTGATCATCACATGGACAGTGCAAAAAGCTATAGAAAGGTAAAGTATATATCTCCATAAAATTCACAGTGAGTGACCACTATAATCATTCTAAATTAAGCATAAATAATTATTTTTTAAGTTCCTAATTTGATATAGGCCGAAACTATAAAAAATAAATAATCCAAGCAAAAAATTAGGAATTAAAATTGTATTAATCTTGTTGGATAAATAAATAAATGCATTTAAAAGTAATTTAAAGCTTTAAAGTGGGCTAAATATTGGAGTCATGCGAGAAAGTAAAGTAATTATGGTCTATATATCAATTGATTAAACCGTATTAAATTATAATGACCGCAACTAAAATTATATGGTGGTTCACCAATTAAAAATAATTTATAAAAATAGTACATTAAAGTTAAAAACCTTTTCCATGTATAATTGTTTGAAATTTTTTGCATGTATAAACTATACTATCTAGTAATAGTGATGTCATACTTAACTATAGGCCTAAATACATCTTAAGAACGATTTACTAATCAATACATCATTATTGATGTATTATGGGCATTACATCTTAAAAACACAATAAAAATTTAAAAAAACCTATAAAAGGAATACCCTCAAAGTTTTTTAAAATTGTTAAAAAACCACCCTAAACTTTTATAATTTAACAAATATACTAACTATTAAAAATTATATTTTAAATCAAGGAACTAATAATAAATCATGCAAAAATTTTAAACTTTAAGGGGGTAAATTTGCAAATGTACTAAACTTAAAGTTTGTTTTTTTTTTGGTAAATTTCAAATCTGATAGATTTTAAAGTAGTATGTTTCTTTTTAAAAAAGTTTATGGGGTAATATTGACTATGAAAAGTTTTTTCCTAAACCTATACTTTAAAGGGAGTATGATATTTTTTCGAAATTTTTTTATTCTTTAGGGGTTGCTGAGTAATTTTGTATATTTATTTAAGTGTGTCCTATAGGTTATAAATTCTAAATGGTGTTTTTTTGTAAATTAATGAATATTAGGGGTTTTTTGTCTTTTGTTTAAACCTGTATAGGTTTTTTCTAGAGATTGTAAATTGTTTACTAGACTATTTATAATTCCTATAGTTTTTATTTACTAAATGAGTTTGAAATTCCAAGAGTGTGTTTGTGAATTCGAATTTTTAAGTAATTTGTTTATAGTTTTTTTTAAAACTTTAATGGTGTTTTCTAATACAATTTATAAACTGTTATATAGGGGATATTTGTACTCATATATTTCCTAATGTACTGTTAGGTTAGAAATATATACGGATCTTTATAAATTTTACGATCCTTGAGAGTTTTTATGCTTTCAATTTATAAAAATCGTTTACGAGTTTTATTACAAATTCCATAAATATTAGGGGGTTTTGTGTTATTGTAGGTTTTTGGTGTGTTTATGAGGTTTAAATTTTCAAGGTATTGGTTTTACAAAATCTTTGAATTTTAGGAGTGTTTTTAATATTTTTTTTTTAAAACGTTACAAGATACTTCTCCAATGTCAAAACTTTCATTTTTAGTTAGGGGCATATATTTTTAACTTTCATCCGAATGAAATAAGTAAAATTATAATTTTTTAAATAAAAATTTGAATTTATAGGGGGTATTTTTAATTTTAAAACCTTAGAGGTTATTTTTGTACAAGGTCCAAAAACTTTAGGTGTTGGCTAACAATATTTTTAGATTTTTCTGCAAACTAACTTAAGTTAAAGAATTAAATTATATCAAACATATCAACCTTTATCCAATAACATGTTAAGTCTTATATGGAATGATAAATTCCAAAATCTTAATTATAATTCAAAGAATATAAAAAAAATTAGAAAATAAAATAAGAATAACAATATAATATTTTAAAAAAGTAAGGAGGTAATACTAAACCCTAGAAAGATTTCCCCCCGTATTTTTTAAAAGGGAGTGATGATATATAAGTATACCTAAGTATATGATATATATATGATATATATATATATATATATATATATATATATTATAGTTAGATAGATTAACTAATACTCACCAAGTTACTCCTTTTAATTTAAAAATCTCTCATTAAATCTCAAAACCTAACCCCCACATTCATATCCTTCATCCTAATTCATTGCAAGAATAATGAAATCGAGTTCTACGGGTTAAAGTGCTGCTTCATAGCTATGATATGGTGGAAGAAAGAGAAGAGAGTGTTTTACTATGTTCAAAAGGTGAATTTCAAACAGTATCTCATTTAATCCAATAATATGTTAAGTCTTATTATGAATAGGATAAATTGATTTAGATTACCACTTCAAAGAAGATATGATAATTAGAATAGATTAAGATAATAATGTAATAGTACAGAAAAAAGTAAGGTTAATATTGACCATCAGATTTTTTTTTCTCAAACTCTCGTACTTTTAAAGGGAGTATGATTAGATAGATTAATAATCCCAAATTCATTCTCCTCTATTTAAAAAATTCTCTTCATTAAAATCTCAAACGCTAAACCACAAATTCAGTCTTTCATCCTAAATTCATTGGCAAGAATTATGAATCAAGTTCTAGGGTTTCAAGTGCTAGCTTCAAGCTATGAATATGGTGGAAGAGAAAAGAGACGAGGGTTTACTATTGCAAGCGATCTTCAAAAACATGAAAATAGCATGGATAATAGATGAACTACAGGAGACTTTTTTTTTGCTGTCCAAACTATCGAGCAAGATATCAAAGTATATGAGTTTGTGTGAAACATGAGGATCTTCCAATCCCAAAGCTCAATATGGTGATTAATAAAATTGTTATACTGAAAAAGATGTGTTCGAAGGATGGGTGGACAATATGCAAGAAGAAATTGATAAGTTTGAAAGAGAAATAAGAGAGAAAGAAGAAGAATTAATTGACGGGAGAGGAAATAAGTTACTTGATAACGAGAGTAATATGTAGAGAGAAAGAGAAAGAGTAATTTTGAAATTAGAAACTCATTTGAGAGACGATTGGTGAAGACTTGAGGGGGGGAAATTACAGTGAGTGATATTTCTTATCCTCCATGTCCAAAAACACACAAATCGTCACTTTTCTAACAGTGAAAAAACTTAAGTATTTTTTTTGATACAAAATACAATGTATGATATTAAGTATGCAGAACCAAGAAACTTTAGGGTATCTTAAGTCACATCTTCTCAAAAAAATTCATGTACAACGCAAACAAAATTTTGTTGAATTTTTATCTCTCATGTAAATACTATTCAAAAGTACCTGTTGTAAAACAAATTAGCTTTTGAAGCAACAGAAATTGGTAAAAGTGTGACGGTACTCAAAACAATCTAAAAACTTCAGGGAAGCTTAATAATCTAGGCATATATTTAACCCATATTTAGATCATACCAAAATATGATTACAAGAGAGGGAGAAGGCAATTAACTTGGCAGCACGAAAAGTTATAAGTTATGATTGCAAAGAAACTCAGATTGGTGCTGTCGATTAGTCAAAAATGCTGTAACAGGTATGATCTTATGTTTTAGGGTTGTTTATGCAATTTCAATCATTGTAGGATTTGTTTTAATTTCTTATGTTTTAGGGTTTTTGTAGATTTCTTGTCCTTTAGGGGATTATTTATAATTTTTGATTTCTTGAGGATTGTTTTGTAATATTTCGATTTCTTTATGTTCATAATTTCACATGTGTGTAATTTTTCATGAACATGATTTTATGGAGAATAAAATCTAATATGATTTTTTGTTAATATTCTATACCACCATATGTGATTGTTAGACTTTTCTTCATGGATAGTTATAATGGTGAATAATGCATACCAAATATTTTTATTATTAGAATTTTAATAAGACTATATTTAATTTGATGCATATTTCCAAGGTGAAATGAAGATTAGATGTTAAGACGAGGTCATCTCTGATAGTATAGGAAGTTACACATGGTTATTATGTATGACATCATGTCAATTATCTCTCTCAACAACTAACAACGT